AAGAGAAGTGAAAATTCTCGTGTCGTTATTAGGGACAATGACTCTATGCTAACGAAGAGTTGAAAAAGATCTAAACAGAAATTTAAGGTACTTACTTGTTATTAAGGATTAAGTGAAGAGAGAGTTATTGAAAACTCAGTATCTTAATATAGAAGACTTAGTCTCTATGAATCAATTTCCACTAATGGATGTCGATTATATGCAGGCTTATATCCTATCTTTGACATCTACGATGTGGGAACATTCCGTATCGCTGAATCATCATGGCGCGAGTTCTTATAATTGATAGAAAGAAAGAGACAGTAGTATGCCAACAATGACTCACTTTGAATGGATTCCACTCTCAACTGTCAATATCAACACAACAACAAGCCCGTTACTCAACATAAAAACAACAACACAGGGAAAAAAATTGTAAATTCAGGAATGTGTCATGTATATGTACAATAATTGGCACCGTACGTTGATATGTGTAGATAAACTCCTTCAATGCGTTTAATTCGTCATATATTGTATTTTTCCCTACTATATCATACAGTTTATTGGTTTTTTCCACTATTTCTCATATGTTACATACTGTTTATTTCTTTCTTTCTGTGGCATAATCCTTTCGTTCTGTGGTCTAATCCGTCCGCTCTCTGCCATATTTCTTTCTTTCTGTAGCATATTCCTTTCTTTCTTTAGAATATCTCAATATATCATTTTCACTTCATATAGAGTTGAGTGAGGTAATTGCATGAAAAATCTCTCCTCTCATTTGTACTTATCATAACTTGGTCAAATTTTAGAACTTTTTTTTTCTATTTTTTCTCCTACAGATAGCTGAATGTCCGGGTGTGGGTGTGGGTGTGGATGCATGCAGACGTGGATACGAAGAGGACACATCCATTCCTTTGCCGTAGCGTCAAAGTATAGGAATGAAGTTTCCAATAGCGACTGAATCTTTCAGCCGGATGGCCGAAAGCCACACCATTATCATTTCACGCGACAGTGGTGTCGAGACAATTTTTCATCATTTGGTAACAAGAATCGTTGGCCTCCAAATAGTCCGAATCAGAATCCTTTGGACTATTCAATTTTTGATAAACTTGTCAACACGATCGATTGGGACAAAGCCAAGGCAAAAACAACATTGATTCAACTATTAAAATCGTCTTTTGAAAAAGTCCGCGAATCAGTCAGCTTTGAAAGCTGTCCTGGTTGGACTAATGGATTGTATCGCGTTTTCTAAAATGATTGAAATTATTTACGTTAATAAAAACAAACAGTTTTCTGTAGATCTTGACATGTGGCATTTCAAAAAAAACTTAGCTGAATTCAGTGAAAATTGAAAAAGTTATTTCGAGAATACTGAGATGTTCATTTAACCTGGCGCACCCGTGATTTACTACACTAGAACCTTTCATAATATATCTTCTCTTGTCTAAAGAATGATCTCGGATATGTACTTAGCTCTATTTAAGTGAAAACTTGATGGACTAGACTCAGCTTTTAGCATAGATTTCATCTAAACGTTTTGCATTTATCACTCTCAAATTTGTCTTGGACTCACTTACTACATCAGATATTACAGACTCTGAATTCATACAGGTGAAGATGACTATAAGACTTTGACTGTGGAACACGACGTTTACAAAGATATAGTGGAAAACTTTCTTCATATCTCTATTATCAACCTCTCAATTGCGCTATGTTCATACGCCAATTATCAGAACTAAGTTCCCTATGTCCATAGAAGAATATATTGAATTTTGGTACTCTCTACTTAAATATTAACACTGTGTAGTAGTTTTACTATTAAGGTCTCAATTGACGAAGAAAATCTTCTTCTACAAATGTGCATGTATTTTGCTGTATAATTAACAATGACTATTATGGGCAGTGCATGAACTCTACTAAACGAGGAATTGTTTTTCTTGCAGAAAATTTTTTCGAAGTGTAATAAATTTTTATTGCTTATTCAAATTGTTTATACGTTCTTTCGTACTGGTTATATGATGATTGATCCAATCTCATAAATTTGTTTGTTTTTAACCTAGATCAATACGTTCTCTCTTATTCATGTTTCATATGAGATAACAGAAATGATTCCAAAAACAAAAAAATATAGGCTATGTCCTAATTGCGACCAAAAATTAAGCCAATTAAGAAAAAAGTGGTCGCAATTAGGAACACAGAAATTTACGTTGATCTCATTTTTAATGCGTTTCCGAATTGCGACCACTTTTATTAATTAGTTATGCACATAATAGATTATGAGTTCTGTTCTATTGATAAAGTTTATATATAGTCGTGAGAACAAGAACAAGCACAAAAACGAACAACAAGACTAAGAAAAGGAAGATATATAAAAGATGATAATAAACTTATGTTAGCAAAAAAAAAATATCTTCAAGATAAAAATTTTGGTGACTATCAAAAAGTTTTACGAACTATTTCTCATCGTTATATCGATATTATAAAAGATGCCAAAGATACTAGTGATGAAGAATAAATTTTTTGTTATCTGTTTGTTTTGTTAATAAATATTGTTTTCAATCAAACTGTTGATTAGTAGCTAACTAATAAAAGTGGTCGCAATTCGGAAACGCATTAAAAATGAGATCAATGTAAATTTCTGTGTTCCTAGTTGCGACCACTTTTTTCTTAATTGGCTTAATTTTTGGTCGCAATTAGGAAGCTACGAAAATATAAATAGTATTTAATATCGACTTTCTTTTTTCAAAACATTCTATTTGACACTTAAAAAATATTTATCCATACCCATCAGAAGAATTAAAGCCAATCCATAAAAAGTGCACACATAATAAAATGCATGAACACTGATCTCTAGAAAAGTATTTAGAGGAGTGATAAAAAATTATCACTTCCAACAATTTCCCAATGACCGAGTTTTATTAGAGTATGACTAGTTGATCCAGCGTATAGCTACATACTCAGAACGACCCTTATCTAATGTATAAAAATTGATCCATCATATTATGATTTAGTTAATTGTTATTCTCGTATATATATATAAGTGAGACAATGCGCTCAGTTCGAAATAGTCGAAACCAATATTTATCCACATATAATTTTTACTCAGTTACTAATTAGTTTCAGTCAGTATGCCTTTTTACAGGTTACATTTCAATATGAAGCATTCATAGATATATCTGCATTGAACAGCTCTCGATGAACAGAAAAACTTGGCTTACCAATGAACATAAACTAAGTTTCTATTATTGATAATTTCTCTTACTCTGAAAAGGAAAATGTTCCTATCTTTAAGATCATTTCTACTGCATTCTTCTAGTTTGTTTATAGAACTACCAATAAAATTTTAACCATTTCTACAATAAAGAATTTTCATAGAATACTCTTAGAAATAAAAGTATAGTCTTCGAACATTATTGTCCTCCTCAATTTTTAAGTCGGTTCAGCTCTATTTAAAACTTTTTCGGTTCGATTCTGAACAAAAACAATCAATCGATTCCGTCACTGATCGATATCTGATAAATTATTATTTAGATAGCTCGTAAATAATATTTTCACTATTTTGCATTCTTTCCTTTCATAATCGATGATGTCAAATGTTTCTTCCCGAATCATAATGAACAGTGTGAGTGCAAACGGTCTCCTTACTTTCTAAAGGTAACTAAGTAATACCTGATTACTTTTATCAAAATAAATGAAATCCAATTAATCAACATTGAATAGATGAAGCACAATATCTGCCCTTTAAAATTTCTTATTAATGAAAATATACAGAGCATTTAGAATTCTTTTCTATGGTTTTCTTTTAATTTTAAGAAACATTACAATTGAGATTATTTGACGTTCTAATCAAAGTTTCTGAAAAAGACATATGTTTTTTTTTTCACAATGAAAAAAAATCGACTAATTTCTTATGTTAATCTCTTAGACAATCTGATAAATAACATATTCCTCTTTTCAAATTATAGTTATGCATATGATTGTTCAGGAAAAAGGACTAATTGTTTGAATTAACGATATTTTTACATGAGTATCAAGGCGAGAACAAAATATTTAGTCAATGGAGGCAAATGTAATAATAAAATAAGTTCTCACTAGGTACTTTTGAATAAGTCTTCTTTTTTAATAAGATATTTTAGATTTTTAAAAATCTATGAGTAAAAATACATTGTCAATAAATAGAATGTTTTCGAGAAAAATTAATTTGAGACAAGAAAAGTTTTTCTGCAGTTTTGTTGATTCCTGAGAAGATATGTGAAGATAAAATAGATTTATTTAAAAGTTAATAGACTTCTCTAGTATAGTCATTTTCTACCATTTTTGAATTGTTTGCATCTTCATATGAAAAAAAGTTGCTTAAAACAAAAAATGTTTATATGAAGAATGCTATCTCATTTGCATACAAAAGTTGGAATATCTCAGGTATAGTCAACGTTCTTTGTGAGAAATAGCATTTCAAACACGTTTTTGCATCAATTTTGATGAAATTGAGCAGAAAAACACATTAAAATAGCGCAGCTCCTGCGGAGCAGAAATGTGGAACTCACGTATACCTTTAGCTTTGTTAGCTGACGCATCATCTGTATACTGAAGCACTTCTCGTCAACTATAGTTGTGGGTGTGGGTGTGGGTGTGGGTGTGGGTGTGGGTGTGGGTGTGGGTGTGGGTGTGGGGTGTAAATGTGGGTGGGTGTGGTTGTGGGTATCGGATGGGGGCTACGAGAAGGACTGCACCCACACCCACATCCACACGCCATACCCACACCCACACCCACACCCACACCCACACCCACACCCACACCCACACCCTAAAATATCAAGAACACCTACATAAAGGATCTTATTACAAATAATATTCCATCACCTGAACACCAATATACGGTAAGCATTTTATTGTGAGTTCTCTCAAGATAAGCAGGCTAAGATCCTCAGATTTCATATTTCAGCCTTATGTCAACAACGGAGGTTGAAGCTATCAGCTACATTCCCAAAACGAGAACCTCACAAATATTTTAAATGTAGTGGTAAGCAATCGCGACAGAGTCAATCGCTAAAATGAGTCAAAATTTATAATGGCTTGTTCACGATTTGTCACTCTATGTCTCTATTTTCTGAAGATTCTTCTTCTAATTTCTTCATCGCGACATCAGTGACAAAAATGAAGCAACAGAGAACATAGTCTTCAAGTTCCTGTGCTTCATTGATATCATGAAAGCCTATGATTCTGTCAACCGCGAACTTTTATGGGAAATCTGTCGACAATATGGTCTCACTGAAAAAATTGTCCGTCTTCTAAAACTTCTATACAAAGACTCAAAAGCAATGGTTCAAATCAATGGCGAGCGCTCAGAATCTTTCGACATTGAAACTGGTGTACTTCAAAGTGGTATTTCATCTCCTATTCTTTTCAACGTGTTCTTCGACTTTGTTATTCGGCGAGTTCTAGAAAAATTAGCTGCTCTAAATGGGACTGGAGTAAAACTATCCTATGGTAAAGACTCCTTCTTATCTTCTTTCAATGACAACTCGGAACTGGAATTTTTGGCTCTTCTTTACGCCGACGATGTCGTAGTATGTGCCGACAATGCGCTGAACCTCGAACTATTTATACGAACCTTTGAAGAAGTGTCACAACAAATGGGTTTAACGATGAGTATCAAGAAGACTTGCATAATGCCAATGCAACAACTACAAGAAGATGCTTCAAAAAAAACAATTATCAAAGGACAAGAAGTGCCAGTCGCTCCCATCGACATCAACATTCGAAATGAAACTATTCAAATGGTGAACGAATTTTTTTATCTTGGAAGCCACTTTACTCGTGACTACTCTTTGACGAGAGAGATTGATGTCCGTCTGGCAAAAGCATCCACTTCATTCAATATGCTTAGATACGTCGTATGGTATCGCAAAACTGTTTCAATTAATGCTCGATTACGAATTTTTCGTGCTTGTGTTCTATCAGTTCTCCTATATGGCAGTGAAACCTGGACCTTAACCATAGAAATGGAACGCCGTTTATCTGTATTCTACCATCGTTGCCTTCGAACAATCCTGGGTATCAACCTAGGAGATAGAATGACAAATGAACAACTCCTACAAGTTACCGGCCAACCAAGTCTTGAAAAAATTCTGAGAAGAAACCGACTCCGATGGTTTGGTCATGTGAATCGTATGGTCGACGACAACGGCGATCCCTCTATCGTCAAAAAAGCAATGTTTTCTACTTATCCTAGTTCAACGCGGCCACTCAACGCTGGCGTGAGGAAGAAATGGCAAGATATGATAACAGCCGACCTGAAGAAGATGAACATTCAAAACTGGCGAAGAGAAACTCTCAATTGTGATTCCTGGCGAGCTGCAATCAATCAGTGTAATCAGGTGAGACCTCCTGCTTCAAACATTCCAGATATCCTTCAGCAGGTCAAACAACGAACACAGATGAGGCGAGCAACTATTCCAGTCCCAAAGATCACTGAATTGATACCAAAGAATACCAACAAAACTTATACCTGTCCAAATTGCAAAAAAAAACTTCAAACCTCAAGGAATAACGAACCATGTAAAGTCATGTGCGAAACAGTGGTGCAAGAAGAAGGGTTTCTCATTTGACTAGAGATTCTCTGACTTGTTGAAAAAGCTAGGTTCTAGCTCTGTATGCCTCAATGATGGATAACACTGAAATCAAACTCCCGTGGTTTGGAGGCCTTATTCGGACAACAGCTACAACACTCGAACTGATCGACGAAAGAACCGAACATTGTTTAATGAACTTTTTCTTTCTCATTTCCTCCTTTTTTCTTTTTCTTGTCTATTTGCCTGTGTGTAGTTCTTTTTTTTGTACGTTTAAATGTCTTCACCCTAAACCAGTGAGGTAAGGGTATTTACAATACAATACAATAGTCTTTAAGTGCAGGTTTTAGCATTTCAGATATCAATCAAATTTTCTCGTTTATTATTAAAATCTTATTCCAAATATTTCATGCTCGTTGTGATGTATTTATTCACCACCATAACCATAAATTTGAACGAATATATTTTATTGTATAAGTAATGTTTAAATTTTCTGATTGCACTAGTCTATATATCTTTTGTTGCCAACATTCACTTGCTCTTAAAAGACACAATGAATTCAATGGATGAACATTGCGATTAGTTTCATCAAATAATAAACGTATAATTGCTTCTAAGTTCTTTGCACGAGTTTCCAAAGACAGATGTTGCATTCGTGGACATAATTTAAGAAGTAATTGAATTTTATCTAATGTAGATGTTTCTTCAAGAGTGACATCTCGAATAGTATTTCGATTAGATACAATTTGAAAAATTTTATTTTTCTCAATATCTTCATAAGTATATCCATACAATGGTATAGATTTCAAAGCTAATATTTGAATATTTGGCATAAAATAGAGTAATTTACTTATTTTTATCAAAGAAAAATAATGAGTTTCAATGACTAGTTTAGTAAGTTGTTGAACAGGAAGAATATTTTTGATTGTTTTAAGAATTGAATCACGACATACGCTCATATTATATTTCAAAGTAAGTTCAGTAGCATTTGGAAAATAGTTCATACAATTGATCACTCCTTTTTCATTTTGCACATAAACATGACGTACTGAATTCAAAATTGTTTTCTCAGTGTTTAAACATATTTTTCCCGCCGATTGCTCATATAATATATAAGTTCTTCTTCTGAAAAATGAACGATAATAAGACATTATAAAAAAAATTCTAATTAATACATACCTATATGGATTTGTTGAATAGAAAATTGTATAATCTGAAAATCTTGATTGACGAAACTGATACGTGAAAAACCATTTTCGTTCGATCCAGAATGAAGATGTGAATGGATTAATCTGTGTATCTAACATTAGTTGATTATTATCAGCATGTTTTGGCCAAACTTCATGTCGAATGTCAAATATACGTAAGTTTGGCATATGACATGATATTAGTTGTTCCCATCTTTTATTATCTGCATAAGCTATATCACTATTACTTGCCATTGAAATTCGTAAAATTTGAGTTCGAGAAAATAGATCTATAATTAATTGTTCGAAAATTTCAAAACTCACGGATTTTAATTCAAGAGAAACATGTATCAAATTAGTGAGTGCATACGGAAATATTCTGTTCTGGATACTGTAAGAATTTATAAATGAATGAATATCCAAATGCCGAAGTTGAGGAACATATGATAAGAGATAATAAATGGCTTGGACAGAGATGCTATGACTAATTACAAGATGTTCAATCGGACTATATTCGTTAGTTGCAAATGATAAGGACTCATTTGTATGGAAGCCTTCCAATGATAATTTGCAATATTTCAATCTAGAGAGTTGAAATATTTGATGATAGATTGTATTTATATTTACACGATTATGGTAGTCAAATCCATATCTCCAACAATCGATAGAACTAATAACCAATGACGAAAGCAATGGAAGTGTAGATAATTGAGCGACAACTTTTTCCAGAGTATTTGGTTCGATATTTTCAATAGTAAGTCGTTCAAGTCGAATAAATTCTGATATATTGTTCGTCGGTGACATTTCATGATTATAAATGAGTAAATTCGATATATGAAGTGAATGAATTCGATCTATATTGGGTACAATTATATTTCTAGTATAATGCTCAAACGCTGATTTTGACATTGATGAAATTTTGATGTTGATTCGAAAGTTTGAATAATTAAAAAGATCATGAAAACGATGATTGAGATTGAAAAATGCCTTATATACATCATAAAAATCCAAATATTCAAATATATCATATAAAAGTTCATTCGGCAAATTTTCAAACTTTTTAATGTCTATTTCTAAAGAGAAAAAAAGTATTAAATAATAAAAAGAATGTGAGTTTTACTTTCTTTCTTTTGTCTTTTGTTATTATGGAGAATATCACTTAATAGTCGTTTCATTTCACCCATACCAAAAGTAACACTGAAATTTTAAAATTAATAAAGCATAATGCAATTTCTATGCTATTTATTCCCAATACTGACACTGTATAGAGTACACCCACCTACACATACAGAGAGGAAAAAAACAATGTGTTACTAATTATATAAATCATTTTAAGGATGTAAGCATGCACATGAAATTTGTTTATACAAGACAGAAAACATTTCTTTATTCAATGTACTATTTTGGAGTGAATATGAATAATTTTTCTTTTACAATCATCAAAGCAAAAATAAAGGTAGAAGAGATGAAGAAAAGGCATAGAAATGTAAAACTCGAAGAAAATGTGATATATGACGAAAAAAAGTAAATAATAATCGAATTTCTATTCGACACTTTGACAACAGAAGAACGCAAAGTTGGAAATAATGACGAAATGAGTTAAATTGATCACGTGATTATGAATGTTTTTGATTGACTGACAAGTATTCATTTACATTTATACTTCGATTGTAATTGAATTGAATTACTCCTGAAATAACTTCCTGCGTTCTCATCAGGTTGTAGATGTTGCTCGTCTCTTTACATCCATCCACATCGTACGTAACCGTGCGACATCTGTTTCTTTCTATTGTACATATATTTCTCGATCAACAACTGAAACGAATACTGAAGAAACGATGAACTTACCGTGACATTGAAATCGATTGAGAATTCAATACTTGACAATAGTTAATGCAACATGGATCTTTATGGATAGGTGTGAGTGTGTATATAATTAATTCCATCCGTAATCATATCCTTTTGTAGTTTTCTTTATTTGAAACATGGTTCGGGATATAATTAACCCTTTCAATCCCGCATGTCATATACGAGATGACATGAATATTGTAATATAAAAATTTTGCGTTCTGTCGTCTTCCTACATGATATATACCATATGTCTGTTCAAAGAAACGTGTGTAAATTTCATTGTGAACATAATTTTTCTTGCACTGAACTAGTATAGCTAGATATTGTGTACAGATGATTATCTAAAGAAGAACGCAAGGGAGAGAGAGAGAGAAATCTAGATTTTCTTCAACTTTTTTATAAAATGAGAGCAAATATTGGGATTGAAAGGGTTAATATTTCAACTTTATTTCCGTATTGAGACGAATTTTCAATATAGCAAGTAATTCGCCGTCCTTTTATTTGATATTTGTATATACTTTATTTGTGAATTATTTTTCCTTCAAGGTTAAATCGCTTTGTTTGACCATTCTCTTATCTTACGAATTCTTTTCGACCTAAAAACCAGAAAGCAATTTTTCCATCAATGATTTGATTATCATCTTCATTCATTTTGCATCACTCAATAAGAAATAATCAAATAACAATAATGCTAAAATATACTGACGTTCATTTTGATATTTTGCCTATCGACATGCTATGTCTTGATTGAAAGTTTTCTAAAAATCAGTTTCAGTCATAAAAACTGTAATGATCCATATTGGATTGTGTTTACAAAAAAAACGTTTCATTTTTTCAATTCCATTTAAAATAAGTTAAATCTGTACTACTGTCCACTTCAGACATAAATGACGGTGGATATTTTTCGAATAACTTTTGACAGAAATGAGATAGAGACCTGTGGTTTTCACCTTTGGAAAGACTAGATGAAAATACATCGAACCATGTATAGAAAGATTTTTCGAATGATTTTCCTGAAAATTTTTAGCCAAGTGTTTTCAAAGAATTTTGTTTTTCTCCTACGTTGAAATGATAATTTTTCTATTAAAATGTCACAAAAAATCTTCATTTTTCGACTATTTTGAATCAAGAAATTAATATCGTAATCATCAGAGACATGTTGTTTTCTTTAAAATCTTACATAAAACTTCTAGTAAAGTCGTTAGAAAAATTTTTGCATATATTCTTCGAAGGGTGAAAACCGCAGATCTCTATATCATTCCTTTCAAGAGTTATTTCAAAAATACTCACGGCCATTTATGTCTGAAACGAACAGTAATATATTTCTTTTCGATCCTTTCAAACATCATTTCAATTGGTGTTGTTCCAGGAGTATTATCAAAGATACATTTAAGTGTATGGCGCACCGCTGCAGATTTATTTAAAATATCATCATTATCAATAACTTCCTACTCAATAGTACCTAAATCTGATATGAATCGATTGCATATTGGTATACATGCAATAGAAAAGTTGTTTGATTTCATTATTCGGTGTTTCATTACACAGTAAAAATTCATATTTATTTTGAATAGCTCTATTAGTTCGATGTTCCAATAATTATCGAACAATTTCTTGATGACTATGAAAACATGGATATGTCTTCTTTTCGTACAAATCCAGACCCGCAAGCTAGATCATTTACTTTTTAAGTTAAACCGAACCTTAACCAAAAAGAATATCTTTCAAATTTTGATCAATATTTAATATATCAAACAATTCACAGAAAAAGCAAATGTTCAGTTTTATTGTTATAAATATACTGAAAATTGATGCTGTCTACAAGCACCTAATTTGAGAAATTGTCTTAATTTCTCATAAATCCAAAACTAACATTGCCAATAATTTTCATTTTCTTTTAGATATTCTTTCTCGTTGAATTACTCCCGATAGAATATAAAATATAATTGACAGAAAATTATTTATTTCAAAAAATTAACACAACTCAACTGATGACATATCAATTTTACAATATTAAGTATTTCTGGAATAATTAACAAAAAAGCCATAGATATTACTAGATATAGTATAGTTTTTTTTTGAAAACCCGATTTCCTATAAAATAACAGGTATATTCAAAAAGTTACATAAATAATCTTTTAAATTGAAGAATGTCCAATCAGTAAATTAAGTCGTCATATATTTTTTTGCTTGTATCATACATTAGAATTACATTGCCGTGGAATTATTTGTATATGAAAATGAGGAAATTGTTTTTCTTCAGTTGGATCGAATGATTTAACATCGACAATTTCAAACTGAAAACCAGACAGCAATAGAACTTCTTCATGTGGGAATTTCGAAAGTGCACTAATATCGATACCTTGACATGTAAAATGGTCTGTATCAGACAATAATATTTCGAAGAGAGTATTACCATGAAAGCTTTGGGCAACATCGTATTTTTTAGTTGTTGACGTGAATCCAAGCCAAGTCAAATAATTATCTCCATTTTTCATCTCTTTTTGAAATCGACCTATCATACCTGGGTGTAACCAAGCACCAGGATGTACAGTTCCTCGATGGAAATCAATACCAAAAGGTGAACGTAGACAAAGATAAGAATAGAGTAAATAACAATAAGGTCCAAGTGTATCTCGATAGATTCTCTTATCATTCTCTCGAATAGCTCGATTGACCAGTTTGAATAGCGAACAATCACATGTGTACAACCTTGAGTCTATGGGCTTTTTTATTTCAAACTGAATTCCAAAATCACAAAAACCACACCAATTTCTTCCGAATCAAACTTTTCTCGCTTGATACTACGTAGTCTCACTAAAAACCCTTAGTCCCCCCTAGTCCTGCAAAGTCCCCCTTAGTCCCCCCCACAAAAAGCTTAGTCCCCGCTTAGTCCCCTGTGCAGGGGACTAAAGCCTATAGTACACAAAACCACAAGCACACCCTCACCCTCACTCGCGCGCCCACACCCGCACCATGGGTGTGGGTATGTGTGTGGGTCCCAGACCAACACCCACACCCTCAGTCACCCCCCTCCCTCACTCCTAGACTCAAGTTTCAGTTTGAAATCAAGTATTATTTTTATTTGATAAATTCAGACTGAAATTAAATAGCCCATAGTATGACAACCTTACAGGACACTGTTTTATTTCCACTTTATTTTCAGTTTCGTACTTTGCGCAATTCATCACATATGATTTTGACTTCTTTACCAAATTCTACGTTCTTCAAACCTTCCTCTTCTATTCCTTTAATAGAACATCAACAAAATATTTTTTCACTTACTTCTCCATCTGCTCGATGATTCGCAATAAAGTTTCTATGCCATTCTTGAATCATCAATGAATTAAATTTGGTATCTGTTTCAAAAGGTTCAAAGAAATGATCATAATCACGAGAAAAAACAAAACGATCTTGACGAACATGTTTTTTGTTTATATGTTGAATGTTACTTAGACGTCTTATTCGACGTTGCTTTGTAGGAGCACCTTGTACATATTGAATTCCTTTCTGAACATAAATCATATAATAATTTCGTATTTAGATTAGGTTTTGGTGATGATGAACTAATAAGTTGCTTCAGTCAGTGAATTTTCTTCAGGTAAATATGATGTCCATGAGACTTCTTCTGTATTTTCAAAAGTCCATGGTTTAGGATCTGATTGCCATTGCTGTTGTACAACTAATTTTTTTCTTACTAAACGATGATTATAACGGTATGTCGTCTTATGATTTACATTCTTTTATTTTCTTGAAAAAAATAACCCAAATGAAATGTCAATATATTACTAATCCTTCTTCCTTTTTATTTGAAACGACAAGAGATGAATTATTTAACTACTGCATAGTTATTCAAAAATTAGTCATTTCATAAAATATTCCCTCAACTGAAGGGAGGATCATATGAAAAAAATGCGTCCGTTTGTTTGCGTCAGGATCAACGGAACATTAGGGTAAAAAAAACATCCATACAATTTTTCGGGGAAGATTTCTGCCTTACTACCAGAACATCACATGGTCACGTTCAGACCGATCCTAGGGGTTATCGAGCGTGCTCTATCGATTGATGAACAAATACGGGGGCCTCCAACCAGGCCCTCATGGAGATATACGTCATGGCATGTAATTGGTAAAAAAAACGACCAATCAGATTTGAGGAGGTCTTTTCTTCCTTCTCGTGGAAACAACGCATAGTCATGTTGGGACCGATCATAGGGTTATCGGGGTTTTTCTCTCGATCGATGGTTATATGCAGGGGTTCCCAGCCGTCCCTTCATGGAGATTTAAACTTCCAACATATGATTCGTTAAAAAACTGACCAATCAGATCTCAGGAGGCAGTTATCATCATCAAAATTTAAATGTACTCATACCAAATTTTGTTGATTTAGCAAGGATAAAAGATTGTATTGATGATAAAATAGATTGTAGCAATTATCTTCAGGGGTGAGTGTCAGGAAGGTGTGAATGTGGATGTGGGTGTGGGTGTGGGTGTGCGATTTGAGTGCGAGTGTGGATCTGGGTTTAGGAAAGATCTATATCTACATCTACAGCCACACTATGGATGGGAACTTACCACTACCGTTTCTGGGTAACAGTCCGAGAACGGTAACTTTCCACCCCTAACCTACATCAACATCGTCAAGATTTTTCTCAAATTACTTCATATCTACTTCGATTGAACTTCATGCTTGAGGTATCTCGTGTGTTTAATAACCATCGAATTGCGATGCAGTTGCGTCGCAATTCCTGAAACAGATGACATATATGAAATGTTCGTTTTATTAATATTTTTTTTTATTATGAATTAAAAAGCCTTCTTTAAACACCTAAAAAACTATATGTACAAAAACCATCCCTATACGAATCGATAGGATTATTTCACTAATGCATAAATCATTTTATTAAGGTAAACGTAGTTGAAAAAATAATAATATTTGTACACATCTATTAGTTCAGTTTAGAGCTGCGCGAATCGTCTCTCGATTAACGTTACTTATTAATTTAGATGTCTCCGTAATTATCGTTATCAGCTCACCCTACGGTCAAAGGCCTAACTATGTGAGTCAGATAATTTTTTCCGATATTTCTTTACATTTAATCTGCATTGTAATTGAGTCTCCTATGTATGAGTTTCCTGAAACTAAATAAAAAGTCCTCTAGTTTATTTAGAGTTTTGAATTTCTTTTGCCTATTTCGTGATAAATACCATGTTTCAACAAACTTCATTTCGCTTTTTATGAATCACTTCATGACATTTTTCTTTCTAATTCATCAAATGATTTTTTTTTTGTTTGTTGTCTCGTAATGTTTGTTTTCGCGACCGAAGTCACTGTTTGAATTTTGACAAATAAGTTGAGTAAAGAAAAAATGTGACATATAAAAGTAATTCATCTATTTTATATTTGTTATTGTACCTTTATTTAATAATTTTTCGATCATCAGTCCCTGTAATTCAAATTTTTTCTTTATTAAAAAATGTTTTGCTGGAGTCGCCAAAAACACTATACATTAAAATTAAAACGAAAAGTTGTTGTCGTCGGAGATTGCCATTCTGGTAATAAATCTTTCTGTTTCATGTCATTGAATACTATTCTTTTCAATACAATATTTTAAGGTAAATCATGTCTAGAACAAGCTATTGCTGGTAAAATATGGACTGATATGTCCATGGTGTCAACATGGGATGAGAATTATGTTGAAATTGAAAGTCGTGAACAAAAAGTAGAACTAGAATTATTTGAATAAATATAATTCATATTTGTCTTTACATGTTTCAGTTTGAATTGACTCTATCTACTGTGCAAGCCGAAGAAGAGTATCATCAAATTCGACCTCTTTGCTATCCATGTGCTGATGTAATCATTATGTGCTTTGCTATTGATCAGTATGAGAGCTTCAAAAATATATCTGAAGTAAGTTTTACATGGTGCGTTCAAAAAGTTCCCGGACTGGTTTTATTTCAAAACTAAGAAACACACTACAGTTAATCATATATGTGCTCTTTCTCAAAGTATCTACCATCTGCCGAAATACATCTTCGCCAACGTTCCGGAAGCTGTTGTATAGCGACAGTGAAGTCATCTTGAGACACACCATTTAAACACTGGTGTATTGATGAACCTAGTGCGCTTCTATCTTCGTAGCGTCTTCCCTTGAGATATTTTTTTAAAAGTGGAAATAGATAATGATCGCTGGGGGCCAGGTCTGGAGAGTAAGGTGGATGACGAAGCAGTTCGTATCGTAGATTGTGAATAGTAGACAAAACATGATACGATGTGTGAGCCGAAGCGTTGTCATGACGGAGAATTACGCCAGCTGAAATTAAACCTCGTCGTCGTTCTTTTATTTCTGGATGAACTTTATTAATTAAAAGATTGGCATAATATGTCTTGGTAATTGTTGTACAAGCCGGTACAGGTTCTTTCAAAATGACACCGTTATAATCCCAGAAAAAAGAATATAAAACCTTACGTTCTGACTTCTCTTGCTTAAGCGTCGTTGGTGGTGGAGAGTCAGCTCGTTTCCATTGCTTAGGTGATTGTTTTGATTCAGGTTGATGGTAATAGAACCATGACTAGTCACCAGTGATAATACGAGAAAGAAAATCATTTCCTTCTGTTTCATAGCGAGCCAAAAGTTCTTCACATGCTTCAACTCGTTCGTGTCTTTGAAGAGGCGTTAGCGAATGTGGGACCCATGTTGAACAAACTTTAGTCATATGTAAATGATCGTGCAAAATGCCATGAACGGTACCACTTGAGATACTTAGGATCTCTGCTATTTCCTGGATAGTAATTCGACGATCTTCAATGACCAGGTTTTCTACAACTTTAATAGTTTTCTCATCCGTTGTACTGATTGGTCGCCAACTTCTTGGACTCTCTTCAATATTTAATTGTCCATTCTTAAAACGAGGAACCCATTCAAAAACCATCGTGCGTGATGGAGCACTGTCACCATAAATTGCAGTCATACGTTCATGAATATTAGATGGTGATTGGCCTTCCAAAACAAGAAATTTTATTATCGATCGATGTTCAAATTTTTGATTTTCCATCAGTATGTGTATAGCAGTGACGCAGCCAGAAATTTTTTTTGGGGGGGGGGACCGCAATAGAAAAAAGACATTTTTTGACTAGCAAAAACGAATTAGCCTGTACCCCCCTCCAGGCATTTCGGTCTTTCGGGGGGGGATCGATCCCCATAATCCCCCCCCTGGCTGCGTCACTGGTGTATAGTGATCTAATGAAAATCGCTTTACTCGCGTACAAGAATTTCAATGGTTAACGCATATTGTGTATATAGATGAAGCACTGTTATAGCTACATATAAACAAAATATAGGGGTAACAACGCTTTTCGATATTCTATAGTAAAATCAGTCCGAGAACTTTTTGAACGCACCATGTATTATGATCATTTTTCATTTTCATAACGACTCACTGTCTTCAAGAAATGGATACCTGAATGTAAACATTTTTGTGCAAGAGTTCCAATCATTCTTGTCGGTAAGTTCATCGATACTAATGAAGAATATCTTACTGTTTTTTATTCTAAGGAAATAAGAAAGATTTAAGACATGATCAGGAAATAACAAAACAATTAATTCATCCTAAAGAAGGTCATAAATTGTCACGGCAAATCAGTTCGGTTCTTTATATAGAATGTTCAGCAAAAACGGGAGAAGGTTCGTATATATTGAAATATCTCATCTGACTCAATAATAAATGCTAATGATTAGAGCTCATGAATGAGTATTTTCAGCTGTTTGGTCAATATCACACTTCGAATTAGTCGATAATAAACAGTTGCACAGATTGATTTCAGATATCACTATAAAAACATTCCCTAAAAGATTCAAATGGTATTCTTTTTTATATAATTACTTTTGCAATTTATAATATGTTCGTTTTAGACTTTTATATTCGCTTAAATCTAAGAGTGAAATTCGCTATCATTCGTCCAATACAATTTTAATGTTCTATTTTACTGTCAAAATTATGACAACGACACGTTTCTATACGTATATTTTCGTAAGATCCTGTATCAACAACATTGATTGTTCGATTCTTGTATAAGTAGAGTTGCTGTAAGAAGATGCGGGATATTTGTAAGGCAGAACTAGTCCGATTAGTGGTCGTTAGTGCCGTGACCACTTTCCAAATGTTAAAAATTTTCCATGTTTTTCTAGGAAAATCTAAACATATTCTTGCGTTCTGTTCACAAAAGTAATTACAGGCCTCAATGTTGACTGATTCTTGTGAGCTCTGTTGTGAGATCATCAGTAGGCACTATCATGTCCTCTTTTCGAACTCAATGTTATCAATAATTTATAATTCCATAATTTTTTGATGAAAAAACTATTTCGCGTGAAAAGAAATTCTCAAAAAGTCCTATCAGCACTTGCCAATTTTCGAATTCTAATTTTTTAAGTCTCAGATTTATAATAGTTGACCGTTTTAAAAGAATAAATAATGAATATTGTATAGTATCTATATGAATCTATTTTTTTTAGGTATTCGTGAATTAACTGAGTATATATTGCATTCCAGCAAATTCAAAGTTGCGCTAAAATGATTAATTATACTTCATTAACGGCTCAAACTATTTAGTTCATATATCTTACCATTTTATTTTACGTAAACTGTTATTTCAATTGCTTGATACTGCACATAAAATAAAATATAACTTGTTTTCTTTCAAAACAAAAATTAAGAAAATTTCTTGGAAAAATAAGTTTGTTATATAAAATTTTGTGCATTGAACTTGAGGTAATAATAATTGACAAAATTTTTGGCCTAAGGCCCACCTGAACCTATGAAAATAATTGGTTATCTTTTTTTTGTCGTTCTGCAAGTAATTCATACGAAAAGGAAAGCATACCAATAATATTTTTAAGCTCGCTTAGGCCACAGGTTAAAAATTCGGCCGATTATTATTACCCTTGGACTCGATTCGTGTAATTCTACTAGGATGTGGGGTATAGGTGTCGGTGTGAGTGTGAGTGTTTTTACTCATCAGAGACCGAAACGAGTCGAAAAAATCACATTCGACTCGACTCGAGTCGAGTCACCGAATATTCATTCAAGTAACTGATGTTTATAAATATCATTTTCGTTGTAGGGGTATGTATTGGAACAATCATTGCAGCTTGCGAAACCTTTAATAATACTGAATTCTGCATTTTTTTTTCATTGTTCTTGCGGACACCTGACAGACCAAATTTATTGTAACACGCAGCAGTTCCGCGTTTACTTGGATTTGACAAAACTTTGTAATGATTCTTGTTCTTGTCGCGAATCAACAGTTGTTTAATGTTGGCAGATGTGTAAGTTTCTGGAGCTGTTGAAGACGATACCAACGTGGAACGTAAAGGAGAAGATGACACTTCTGGCGAATATTCTGTCGTATCGTCGTTGGTTAAATCGATTGACATTCTTAAAACGGCAACGATTGTAGCTTTTAATCAAAAATGTTGAAGAAGTGATAGTATATGAGATGAAAAATAAAAACAGTTCTGTCATGTGCTCTACATCAATTGTTTGTATACAGTCATCATTGATTGATGGAACGCCATCAATTGATGTATGAATAAGCTATAATACAGGGAATACAATGAACGCTATTGTTCGTTATTCATTTCAGTCCACTCATCGTCGTCGGTTCATTGTTGTTCAGCCGACGACACTTACTATCTAATGAGTTCGTCATGGTGAATTGATATCGTATTGTTTTAATAAAGCCAAAACTAATCAGCGTTGTTGTTAGGAAAAAACATAAAGCACCACAAAAAAAATCCAAAAAGTCGAGTCTCTCGATTCAAAATCGACTCGACTCGAGAGAAAATTTTACTAAACTTGACTCGACTCGACACAAATTTTGAAAAAGTAAATTCGACTCGACTCGACTCGTTTTCGGTCTCTGTTACTCATACCCAAGATCGCATTTTTCATGAAAAAAAGTCGAATTAAAAGAGAAAGAATTATGTTCTACTACAAATAGTTGATTATTTTTACTGCTTTCAAAAATATGTATTAAGTGTACTCGTAAAAATATCATTAGAAAAATTAACTAGAATATTGTTTGTATACCAAGACAATTTAGTTCAAAAATAAGTTTATCAATGGATATGTTTTTACCTGATTGAACAACGTATGTGTCAGACAAAATTAAACAGAATTATTTGAAGATTTCAATTTTAAAAAGATTGAAGATTAAGGTGATTTATTCATTTTATATATTTATATTAACGAATATTCAACTTTAGTTGAAATTTAGCTAAGTTTAGAAAGCTGTAGAGTTCATCCATGTATTCTATAGAAAACTAAAGTATCATAAGAGGTTATAGAGTCCATCATCTTACTGATTATAGTAATAACAAAATTAGCTGCTAGACCAAAAAAAAGAAGCCAAAAACTTATGCTTACTTTCTTTTTTGTGTGAATATGAATTCGTCTTAAGGTTAGTCCCAGTCTATATTTATAACGTTTTATGCGAATTGCAGTATGTCGGTTACATGAGCAGACGAAATGAAGTGGTCGACGGATAGATCTACTATTCAACATTTCACTGATCTTATAAGAATCAAATAAAACTATGAGTTACTTATATTCGCTTTATATGAGCTACTACAATACTTGATAGAAGTATTCTTCATACTTGGTAAAAATAATAGTTCTGCTGAAAAAGAAATACTTTTATTATCAGGTCTTTAAAAAGGAATGTAAAAGCTCAAAACACAATAGACAAATCTATAGAAAAAATTGTTGATTGACTTATACACTAAATCGAATGAATTTTGACCGATTGTTTACTGTTATTAATCACAACTCTTAATAATTTAACAGACAAGAAATAAAAGAATTTTTAACGTATGTAACTTTTGTTGTTGGGTAATACATGTGATCGGTCTGTTTGTATTACGTGCAAAACCTAATTTAGTAAAATAACTAGATTTTAAAAATCCTTTCGAATATCATCTTCTAATACTTATATAAAGTAAGCTAGCATTCCCAGAACGAGGATTACGGCGACCAGAAACAGCCGTAAACGGCGCCGTATACTATCGTATACGTCAGGTTTACGGCCGTAAACGACTGTATCTTCGCCGTATTTCGTGGGACCGTATTACGGCCGTAACCCGCCGTGACGTTTACGGCGTTATATGGCCACCGTACACGACCGTAATTACGCCGTAACGTCAAGCCTTCACCGACGCATACGGTAGTTTACGGTCGTTTCTGCCGTATATACTCAACCAGTAATGCCGCTGTAAACGATCACCGTAAACGGTGGTCCTTATTGAGACATTGTGAGACTTCTCTAATCCAATGAAAAAGACTATTTCAGACCTTTTGAGACTTCTTTTAATGTATAGAAAAAGACTTTTTGAAACTTTTTTAATGCATAGGAAAAGACCTTTTGAGACTTTTTGAGACTTTTTTTTAATCCGTAGGAAAAGACTTTTTGAGACTTTTTTTTAATCCATAGAAAAAAAGACCTTTTGAGACTTTTCTTAAATAAAGAAAAAGTGTTTTGGAGATCTTTTGACGGATTTTAGACATGATGTAAGACTGTTTGGTAGTATTTTTCAGCAGTCGGAAGCAATGAGAATGGTGTCAAGAGGGCTCAATGGGTGTCAAGAAGATTAGATTGAGAGTTTGTTGATGCTTTTTTGGTATGATGAAAGAAATTTTCGGAGCTGGTTGATCCTGGACGCCGCAATACTCAAAGGGGTCTTTTGCAGAGCTTTCGAGTTTCTCAAGGGCTTCTCATCATGAGAAATGGGTGCTACAAAAATCTTAGAAATGCTATTTATCAGGACGGATAAAATGCTAACAACCCCCTACTACTACTTAGTCTACATATTTTGTGGTCGCAGAGAACCAGTTTCTTAGGAGGATTTCAGATATATTCCAGTTTCACCGAAGTTCTCATGAAACTACCTGAAAGGTACGAGAAACTCGCGATAGACAGGGAGCTGAGTCATTTTCGACTGTGTTTCCATCGTAGAACACTGACTTAGTGCAGAGATGTCCATCGCGGCGCTGCCGCTGCC